GATGAAGATATTAAAGCTAACAATACTTTGTTAATATTTATATACTGGGGGGAAAAGGCTTTTATCTACCTGTATGACCTCAGGGACAGCACAACCTCATCAGTCCCACCCACTCTGCTAACATTTATTAAGTATCTTCTAGGTGTGAGGAGTGCTCTAAGGACTGAAAATGAGTATACTCTTTTCCAGTTGAGAATTCATGGAACTGTACTTAAAATATCTGAGTTCTAATGTATTATACCTCAGTTAACTTCAATGAAATTTTTAAAGTATACCATCTAGCCTTCAAGGATATTATATTCTGTTCAGTCATATATATATACATATATGAATTATAATATCTCAAAAAGTTATTTTATTCTCATTTATTGAATTATAATATCTCAAAAAATTATAAATATGCAAATCAGCTCATATTTTTCTCCTTGGATTTGGGAAGGAGACAGTGATATGGCACAAAATTCATAGGCCCTAGTTTGGTCCCATGGTCTTTTTATTGTATGGTAAATTCTCTAAAACCATTGGAAGATTCCAAACTAGGTATACATTGAAATAAGTATAAAGCATTACATCTATCTCTATGTGTGCTTGTTAATCCAGCAGTCTCAATGCCTAAGATGCTGTTTGGTAGGTAGCAGGCTCTCAAACTTGTTCAGTGGTTAACAGGCAGATATGCAAGTCCTTTCCTTGTTTTCTAAGTAGGAGGTAATTTTGCCCAAAACCCGAAAAGACAGTAATAACTATTCAGTTTTTCTTGTAGCCCAAGGATTCCTTTATCACCTCTTTGTTCTAAGGACATATTGCCACTAATAGCTACCATGTATTAAGTTCCTTTAATGTACCAAAATTTTAAAATGCTAATTTTCATGATGGCCCCAAGGGAGTATCATACTTTCAGAAATAAAATTTAGGCCAGAGGGCACAAAGAAAAGTTGGGCAAGTGCGATTAACTCAGGTCTCTGACTTCCCAGCCCATTCTTTTACCACTTTGTAACCTTACTTGGAAGGAAAACATGCAATGGAAATTGATCTATCTTGACACACACAAAAAAATCTCACCCACATTTCCCCTATAGAAAGAAGATACACAGTGATCCAACCTTAGGAAAAGGGCACCACTGCCAGCCAGTGCATTTTATTCTCATTTTATTGAGATTTCAACAGCTGCCATTCAGTTTGTATAGCAATTTTTTAAAGTAACATTTTTCCATTTTTGATGTTTTTATGAAAATTATTTTGTTTTAAATCCCTTTCCCTCCCCCCAAAGTATTAATAACTTCCATATAAGGTTTATTTAGGAGGGAAAACAAAAAAAAAAAAAAACAGCTTTTAAACACTTGTGAAGCAGAAATGTGAGTCTAGACCTAGGCCAGCTGGGGTGCCAAGCTGCCCGGCTCACCAACAGTATTTCAGTCACCATCCACAGCTCTGGGCCATGTACAGACCCTCTGGGGCTTCTTGTTCCACAAGTTCCACTCCCTTTCTCCTTTCCACCTGTTGTGGGCGCTCTTTCCGCCCAAATGTGTCTAACACAGCCAGTATGACCTCTAATACACGATCAGTTTTGTAAATGGAGACATGACATCGTATGTAGAAAGTTCAAAGACTCCCCCTTCCAGCCTAAGGAAAGAGAAACGTCCAACCCAGCACTGATGGTTTTACTTTCTTGTCTACTCAAGCACATGCTCATTGAATGGATCTATCATATGCTTCAAAAGTCCTGACATGTAGCAGATAGCACAAAAGTTTCTTATAAAAAAAAGTTGAAAACTATAAAAATTTCTGCAGCAATTGAGGTTCCTTTTATGGAACTTCTGATGGCAAAGCTGGTTCTGAAAAGGGACTTCTTTGACACATACAGTCGCTTCCCCTATGGGACCCTATGTTCAGAGGCTTCCATTGAGACCACAGGAAGTTTTAAAATCCAAGTTTAAAGGGCTCTTTGCTGACATAATGGCATACTCATCGGTGGGATACTGCTCAGCTATAAAAAGAACCACCAAGACATGTCATGGATGAGCCTCAGAAACACGCTTTGTGAAAAGAGCCAGAGATAAGACAGCACATAGTGTTTGAGTCCATTGACACGAAACGTCCAGAAAAGGTGACTTTATAGAAACAAAGTCAACTGGGGGTGGGAACAAGGGCTGACTAAATGAGCATGAAGGATCTGATTGGGAGGGATGAAAATGTTCTAAAGCAAAGTAATGGCTATCTATGGCTGCACTACGGAGGAAAGTTACTGAAACTACTGACTTGTACACTTGAAATGTGTGAATTTTATAATAAAATATGCATCAAAGTTGTTTTTTTAAAAAAGGATTCCCTGCTTACCAACCACCTGTCAAGCATTAAACATTTTTGAAAGCTCACAATTATCGCTGTGTTGATTTATAGAGTGAAATGCCCTACTGTTTTATAGAAAATAATTTTACTAACTGTAAAGTAGTAAAGTATGTAAAATGCTTATTATTGTGGGGCTGGGGATACAGCTCATTAGTAGAGTGTTTGCCTGGCATGTGCAAGGCCCTGAGTTTGCTCCTCACCACTGAAAAAAAAAGAAAAAAAAAAAAAAACTTTCATTTTAAAAAGTATTAAATAGCCTAAAAGTGTTTATTGTTTTTAAATAAAAGGTAGCCAGTGAGAAGGTAGAAAGCTGAACAAATCTTACAATGAGACTCTTAGCAGCAAAATCTAAGGAGGCTTTAAAAATTTTGTAAGATAAAGATGATGCATCTATCCTTTTACAGATGTCTCTCCTGTTCTCTGGGAGCAGGAAGTATGCATCTCTTGGCTGTCCCCCTATAAAGATCAATGTATTCACATATTCTAGCCTCATAAATCCCCTAAAAGTGAGACTAGGAACAGCAGTAGAGGGTTGGGCAGTGAGGACAAAAGGCCAAGGAATTTCCTTGGGTAGATTTCCTGCTCCCGTCTCTGCCACAATAGCAGAAAACGTCTCCCATAGTTTCTCAGTATGGGAGAAGATGAAGTGGGAGGCGGCTCTTTCTAAATTATGACTAACCAAGTCTGTGGATGAAACTCACAGGGAGCAGAGCACAGGCTGCACCATACACACACAGTGACCAGCAGAACCAGCGATCCCTATAGGCAATGAAGAGTAAAGGGACTCATGAGAAGTGTGGCAGGAGGTCAAGGTCTCAATAAACACCAAATCATTTCACAGGTTTTCCCTACACACTTGTCAAGGTAAGGATGTTTCCATTATCCTGGAGGAGTGGCTGGGAATACACAGTCTTTCCCAATAGGCAGACATTTCCAAACCTTGCTCAACATGGTCATTTTTCTGCTAATAACCCTACCTCAGTATTACTTGAACCAAGCCAGGTTATTAACCTGTAATGCCAAGACCCTCAGTGAAGAGGCTTACCCCAGCAATCACCAGAGGGTGGACTCCGGAACATAGGCAGTTACATGTCTACCTAGGGCAGTGGTGGCGAACCTACAGCAAGCATGTCTTAGTGGGTTGTTTGTTATCACTGAAAGCTCTAAAAGGTTCGCCGTCACTGACCTAGGGTTTGCAGCAGTCCTAATTCAAGAAGATTCATTCTGTTTCCTTTGGCTGCATCTTCCCACAACTTTCCACTCTAACGTGGTAATTGCCACTGTATTCACCTGACATCCTTAGCCTCTCTAAAATCAAGGTAAAACTTTGACAGTGTAGCAATAAATGATTTGGGAAAATGCTGCTTAGAATTTCACTAAGAACTTTTACATTTACGCCATAGTTAGCCTTATAACCTTGATGAAAGATACCTCAACTGTGACTTTGGAAACTAAAATTTTACAAAGATCTAGCCTTTTCTTTATGATCTTTTCTGACCTGCCCTTACATCATACCCAAAAGTCAACCTACTGTCACAGAAACTGGCCCAAGACCCAGAGCATATACCCAGGGCTAAGTTATATTCTCCAATTTTCTGCTGCAGTTCAGAGGTCTGGAGAAATGGAAAAGACATTCTTTTAATTTTTTTTTCCTTGAAGAAAAAAATTATTTCCATCTTAGAGCTTTTGTGTCAAATAAATAATCACAATAATTGGAAATTAATCACTAATAAACTAACACTGGAGCCAGCCAAATTGGCAACTGTTCAAAATACGTTCCATTTCCATATAAATTCTCAAACTTCTAGTTGCCAAAACAAGAGTAGTGGCTTAAATTCAACATCAAAATTATCACTCACAAATACAAGCCTTGTCATTAGAGGGGAAAAAGTGTCCAGCCTGGCTTGCACCCAGAACCTCTACTATGGAGAAAAGTCTGAGACTAAGGAGCCCAGCCTTTACTTGGGGAAATGTCCCTAAGAGCCACATGACTGTTCTGCTAAGAAGCTGGCAAACTCTTTAGAGGTGAGCCTGAGGCCTGGCAGACGACTGTGCCTCCACCTCACAAAATAAATTAGATGCAAAAGAACTGGGCCATAAGAGGAATCACTGGAAGCACTACGATTCATGAAACAAGGGATCCCCCTGCTAGCTGCTTCTTGATCCTGGAGTCAGCACACGGCCTCTCTGAGTAGGACAGGAAACTAGCCCTCAAGTCCCAGGTCATCCGGCAGAATTGTTGTAGTCTTGGCCAAATATGCTTAGTGAAACCATGCTGAAGACTGACATCCAAAATGCGCCAGCAGAGCAGAGGGCAAGATGAGCCCTCTTGGACCACACTGAGAAGATCAGCTTCTCCTAGGACCAGAAGAGCAAAGCCTCAGGCTGGGCATAAAGCCACTCTGGATCCCTGTAGGGCTTTCCAAGTGGGTAGCCAAATAAGAGTCCATTATTAGACTCTGTGATGGAGCTATCCAGGGTCTTGAAATAGGTTCTTCCTGCAACCCCAACACATTTCCAACAGTTTTCAGCATCCTGAGCTTGGACTGGCTAACGGAGACTGCAGCAGGAACAACAGCCCAGGAGAGAGATTTCCTCTGTTTATGTACTTCAAATGCCCTTTCCTTATTAGAGGCAACAAACCCAGCTGAAAGTTAGAATAACAATGTTTCTTTATTCAGAGTCCTCCTTGAAAAAGAATGAACCGTTGCACTCTCTCAAGGCAGAGGCTTTGGGAATTAACGTGCAGGTGTGGCAATGCAAGTTCCCTAAGCTACTCTCCGATGACACACGACCTAATGATGCCACCTTATAGACTGAATGGGGGAGAAGATGTAGGTTTATATTTTGAATCTGGCATTAGTCTGTACCTATTCAAAAAAAGTCAATAAGGGGCTGGAGTGTATTTCAGTAGGAAAATACATTTCCTAGCATGTGCAAGGCTCTAGGTTCAATCCCTCACACTGCAAAAAACAAGTCAACAAGGGGGTTCGTAAGAACAAGAATCTTGTCCACTTTCCATACCTTAGTCCTTTCCTTCCAACCTCTGTCTTACATCTACATGCTGAATTTACACCGACTTTATTTCAAATTACATGACTTTTCCCTCATAGGCCTATCACCCAGCCCAGTAGCAGTCACACAAAGGCCACTACCTTCTCAAGCCTCTGCAAGCCCTTGTCCTAAAAGAATGACCAGAACTGGACACATTCTCTTTCACACATGACACTGGCATCTACATATCTGTACATAAAGGCAGCTCCTGGTGCCCAGGTTAATTCCTTGGGAGTATCAACAAAAACTGCAGTGAGTTATAGGCATGGAAGACAACAGGAGCACACCTTATAGAGGTCAACCTAGAAGACTCAAAAAGCTGGGTGTATGGGAATAGTAATATTTGATAGTAGCTTTAACTATCCCAGAGGATCAGGTTCAGTCATGTGCGCCAAGCAGGACTCAGTCATTTCTGAGTTCTTTTGCATAATCCTGTAAGGTGAAAAGAAGCATACACATTGTGTAATGAGCTTCTTGCTAGTGTCCTGAAAAGCATATGTCTTTGAAAAAGTGCATCAACATTTTTGAGGAAATTAAGATACCAGGAGAACCAAGTGTTGATGGGATTGCAAAATAATAATAGTGATGATGATGATGATAATAATAAAAGTTGTCCTAATAAATGTAAGACACAACAAACAAGATTCAAGGATAATTTCTCCAGGCTAAGCTGATGGCCAGAAGGCCTCTCATATACTTTTGGTAACAGCTTTCCTTAGAAACAAGAGGCCTGGGGTGGAAGAGTCAGGGGAATTAAGATACCATGAGTCTAGGTGGAAAATCAACACTAAATCTCTTTCACCTGTTAATGGTCTAACGTAGCTATAAACAGAGGCTTAAGAATAGGACAACAGTTACTAAATGACTGAAGTGACAATCACTGTAACAATCCCCCCCTTTCTGATTTACAACTTTCACCAACCATCAAAGAGTTACCATAAACCAAGAACTTTAACTGTTTTCTGCAATGGGGTTTAGCGCAGGGAGACAGGAGCTCAGCGGGCCACTGAGAATCCTACTGCACTGTGGAAACTCCAAGGGTCAGGGCAGCTGGGGTTCCTATTCTGCGTTGTGTGATCTGTTTCTTCAGCTTGCCCCTCTTCCCATCTAGCTTAATAGACTCCCCCAGTAGATCTCGGGTGCTCCTTGCTCCTGGTATGCACACAACAGGTGAGAAGCGTATTTCTTAAATACCCTGCTTTACTTGGTCAGCTTATTTTGTTTAAACACAGACAGCAGGACATTCTTGGTAAAAGAAAAAAAAATGCAATTTCCTTAACTCAAAAGAGCTAACTCAAAACAAAACAGGAAACTGCTCCAAATGAAAGTCAGTAGAACAAAAGAGAAATAAATACTCAGAGGCTTGTAGTAAGACTGAGCACATTAGCTACTCAGAGTCACAGTATCCATCTAAACCACCATTCCCCATCCCGGCTGCACACCCCCTGCCCACCCCATCCCCTCTTCAGCTCTGCCCTTTTGTGCATTATGATCCCCAGATGTGGGGACAGATAAGTCCTCCTTGAAGCTGTCTCTTGAATCAGTACTTCACTCCTGGAATAAACTCCTTGGCGTCTGGGTTCAGGTTACTTTTGCTCTGAAAAAAAAAAAAAAAAAAAAAAAAAAAAAAAAAAAAAGTGATAATAAATCCCAAGGTAACCTACACTTTACAATTCATTTTCTCCTCATTTTTTTTTTTTTTTTGGTAGTGCTGGGGATCAAGCCCAGGGCAAGCACTCTTTCACTGAGCTGCCTCCCCAGTTCCCTGCTATGTCTCCTCCCCTTCCCATGACTGCCAGTACCTTCCCTTTAGCCTTAAATAGAGAGACTTCCTGTGACTTGGACTGGACTGCTCTCAGCACCTCCTAATACTCAGCCCTGAACAAGCTCGTTTTCTCCTTCTTGCTTTAGGCTCCACTCATTTCATGACAATTTCCAAAATTTCACCAGAGGCCTCTAAATTCACCTCCAAAGATAATTTTTCAGTTCACTGAGTACATTGATCTGGTGAAAATGTGGATATTATATGAAACCAACCAAGTTACCACAATCTCTCTTTTTCTTTATCTTTCTGTACTCTTTGGTTATCTACTCTCTCATAAATACCTCAAACTGGAGAAAACTGCAGGTCATAATCATTCTGAACACGGTTTGTGTGGGAACTTACACTGCTTACAGAATTCTGTATCACATAAACATGGAAGCAGGGAATTCATTTACCTGATCTAAATATAAGCAGAAATGGCCTCTCAGAGAAGTATGTGCCTTCCAAAATGAACAGATAATTTTATAAAAGAATCACTCAGAAGTAGAGTACTTTAAATAAACATTTGGAAGACAGTAAAAGAGAAAGACAGCACCAGATGATCATTTTAAACCAAACTTCTTCAGTTTTCAAAATTTTATCTTCCATCTCAGTTCCTGGAAAAGCCCACTGGGAGAAAACTAAAGTTGGTGACACTGGCAACACCATTACTTTCACGGTGCTGTGTGAGGAGCAACACGTCTTCCCTGCACCTCTCATCACCGCCTGTCTGAGTGGCAGAGAAACAGCAGCTAAGATGGCTCCAGAGAAAACCTGCCGAAGGCTGTAAGGCCAGAAAGACAGTTCGTGACCCCAAGCCCTACATTCTTTTTACTACATCACGTGGGATTTTACACAGTGCTTACCAAAATATCTTCAGAATCATGACCATCGCTGACTGACAGTCCATTTAACTGCTGCTGCAACTGTCCCATGGCCTGCGGCAGGTCTCGTGCTGGAATGAACCAGTCTTTGTCTTCCTCATCTAGCATCTCCTGAAAGCAGCGGTCCAGGAAGTCTTGCTCTTGCAGCTCCTCCTCCACCTGGCAAGCAAAGGAGAGCAGGTCAGGAGTACTAATCCAGGGGATTCATCCCTTCAAGGGTTTTCCCAATCCTTGCCTTCAGACGTTATTACTCTGCAGCTAAGAATGATCTCGTGTGAGACCTAAGAATTAACATGCTTCTAATGACTGGCTAGAAAAAAGAAAATTTTTATGTTTTTTAACTGAATTCCAACAAGACTGAAGAAATAGTTATCCAAAAGAGCAGAACTCCTAGGTCTTCACGGATCTTGTAAGATCTGTATGTGACACAGATATTTTCCACTTATAGTAGAAAATCATTTTAGAGCTTGGAATTCTTTCCTTCTTGTAGAGAAGGAACTCTTTGAATTTCCCATTTTACTTGGTAGTGAAGATTAAACTAAAACCAATTCTCAGCTCCTGGGCCACTTTTCTAGTAATGACATCCCTAAGGTAGAAAACTACAAAACTTTTAGAACCTTAAAGAATGCTTTTTGGTGTATCACTAGAAAATGATGTCATCAGTGTGGTATTCTCTCAAAACAAGAAATATATGAATATATAAACAACTTCACATTTCAAAATAAAGCAAAACAATATAAATCTAGAATATCTTACAATTCTTTGTAGACACTGTACTCTTAAGTGACAATATACTTCATTCTACAGCTTTCTTGTTTTGTTTTGTTTTCTGAGACAGGGTCTCATTAGCTGGTTCAGGCTACCCTTGAACTTGTTTGTCATCCTACTGCTTCAGCCTCCTGAAAGCTTGAGATTACAGTCATGTGCTACTACTATGCCAGGCTCACCGTGCAGATTCTAGTATGAATTCACTTGTCTTCCTAATTCATATTTGGTAAATCCCTCTTTCCTTCAGCCTGCTTGGTGACAGATTCACAGTTCACTAGCACCACCACCAGTAGGGAGGCCAAGCAAAAAGTAATTCAAATTGGCCTACCATTACCTCATAAATCAGAAGGAAAATCACTTGTAGCCAAGACTTTAAAAAAAGTATTTCAGTGTCGCAATTGGCCACACATTTCATTAATCTCAAGTGAATTATAAAGTTACAAAGTTCTTAAAATAACTATAGCAAAATATTTCTAAGCCACAAGATTTAATATGACTTTGTGTTTGAACATTTCCTAATATTTTCTCTCTCAATGCTTTTTTTAAACACCCCCCTCCCTCACACATGGTACTGAACCAACGGCCTTGTTGTGCATGCTAGGTAAGCACCACTGAATTACACCTCCAGCCCCCTTCATTCTTTTATATATTCCCTTTCTAAAGCTTTTTACTATTGCTGTTTCTGTTTTAAGGCTTTACCATGTGAACCCATTTCCTTTTTTGTAGCAATAATCCACTTCCTTTATATAAGAGTTCTGAAATTAGAACTATAAAAATCAAAAGACAGGGGCTGGGGATTTAGCTCAGCGGCAAAGCGCCTGCCTGACAAGTGCAAGGTCGTGAGTTCGGTTCCCGGTATTGGAGAAAAACCAAAAAAACCAAAAAAAAAAAAAAAAAAAAAAAAAATCAAAAGACAAAGGCATCTCCTTGAATCTCAACAATCAGACATGGATGAATGTTGCCAATGATTTGGGATACACTTATTGTGATTTTTGGTTTTTGTTTTTTTTTGTCTTTTTGTCTTTTTTTTTGAGACAGAGGCTCACTATGCAGTTCAAGCTGGCCTTGAGTTCACTTTATAGCCCAGGCTGGCCTCAAACTCACAACAATCCTCCTGCCTCAACCTCCCAAGTGCTGGTATTATAGGTGTACGCCACCATACCCAGCTGTGATTTTTACTTATTAGACTTTCACAGGAAAATGACAGGAGCTTAGAGTTAAAAAAAAAACCTTGTTAGAAATGTATATACAAAAGAACCATAAGATTTAAAAATTCACCGAACATTTTTCATGTCTTTTCACATGGTAGGTAGATGAAAGACAACATATATTACAAACTACATGTAGTTTTTTCCTTTTCTGGCCCCTGAGTCTTTTTCTCTTTTCTCTTAAATATTCTGTGTGTTGAGCAGGGCATGTTGGCACATACTGATAACCCCAGAACTCTGGGAGGTGAAAGCAGGAGGATCACAAGTTTGAACCCAGCCTGGGAAACCTAGCAATCCATCTCAAAATTAAAAAAAAAAAAAGTTCTGTGTGTAGGATGGGGGATTTATATCATTCACAATTATAACTAGTATTTTCAATCTTATTTAGTCCCTTATTTCCTGAGTAATACTTCCTGAGATCTTAAATAAGTGATACTACCTTTATTGGGAATTTGTAATGGTTTATATCTAGGTATCTTCCCAAAGCCACAGGCGCTCATAGGTGGGGTTTTGGGGAGGTAACTGGATCATGGGGGCATGATATTCACCAGTGCATTAATGCGCTGATGTTATAGCTAATGTCATGTTGGGAGAAGGTGGGACACTGGGGCATGGCCTGGAAGGAGGTATCTCCTTCCCTCCTCCCTTGATCTCTCTCTCTGCTTCCTACTGTCATTCTATGAACCGTTTCTCCTCTGCCATACCACCCTGCCAGCCAACTCTGGACTGAAACCTCTACAAACTGTGAGCCAAAACGCACCTCTCTTCCTTTAAATTGTGGGTGTCAGGTGTTAGGTCTGAGCAACAAGAAAGTAACTAAGACAGAGTTGATTCTTTCTCTCCTAAAAACTGCATTTCAATCCAATTCTACCAGCCCCACATTCAATGAATATCTTTGCAGATTTTAGTATGACTTGGTTTCCTACTTCATATATGGCAAATCCCCTTCCTTCTGTCTGCTTAGTTTCAGGGGTTGTAAGGTTCTTTTCCTATTACATGTCTTGAGTTGAATTTTAAGGAGAAAAAATTAGATTCTAGGTAGCAACCCTAACACAGTATTTTTTGACTCTCCAACAAAATATCTAAGAAAAAATAGTAAGATGAAATAATTTGATAGTAATAAGACCCTACAATTCACCATAGCAAAAACAAAGTAATATACCAGGTACAGGAAGAACTGATATCAATCAAATCCGAAATCCTAAACTCCCCTGTTCTCAAATGAAGGACAAGTAAGTCTTCCCTGAAATACTCAATCCTTCATATTGACACCATGTAATAGTTCAAAATAATGTTGTCAAAGTAGTATTTCCTGAGAAACATTAGGGTTGGGGAAATTTGAACAAACAATTATTTACCTGCTTAGCCCTTTTAAAGGCCTGATATTTACTGCAATCCTTAAAACTGCTAGGGATATAGTATAGTCGTCATTGTTTTCCTAGTTCTCCTCAACCAAGTTATAATTTTTAAGGCTCCTAAATTGTTTTTCATCAAACGCTGTGTGTGCATGTGTGTGTGCACACATATGCATGTGTTTCTGCAAAGAACTAGCTTTCCAGTACTTTTCCACACATTCTGCCCCAGTTTGCTGAACTACATATGAGCTCACAGCTGGTCCATAGTACAGACATCTGGCTCTTAATTGTCCAAATCCTAGTCAGCAGGCTTAAGAGCATGTCTGTGAGTATAATCAGAGCCAGGACAAATCAATTATGCTTTCTACAGTCTATTATTATCCATTAAGAGGCTAGATAAAGGCAGAGTGGAACAGGTAGGTCACCACCAAAGCCAAAAATGACTATTCTAAAACCCACAGATAGTATATTGATCTTCATTCAGTTTTCTTTTTTTTTGTCTTTTGGAGACAGGGTCTCGCTATGCAGTTCAGGCTGGTTTTGAGCTCACTCTGTAGCCCAGGCTGGTCTTAAGCTTGAAAGAATCCTCCTGCCTCAGCCTCCCAAGTGCTGGGATTATAGGCACGCGCCACCACGCCTAGCTCACTCAGAGTTCTTAATTGTCTATTACATCTGCATTTATTTTCAAAATGAAATGCTGAATATCACATTTCCTATAAGCAAATAAAATCAATAACTCACAGCTGGGAGTGGTGGGGTACACCTGTAATCCCAGCACTCAGGAGGCTGAGGCAGAAGGATCACTATGAGTTCAAGGCCAGCTTGAGCTACATAGTGAGTTCAAGGCCAGCCTGAACTACATGGTGAGAGCCTGTCTCAAAAAAAACAAACAAACAAAATCAATAACTCCCAAAGTATAGAAAAACTCACTACTACTGTTCCTTATTGTCCCATAGTTCAAGCTATTAATTTCATGCTAATCATGTGAACTCATGCCAGGCATGGTGGCACGTGCCTATAATCCTAGCACTCTGGGAAGCTGAGGCAGGAGGATTGCCAAGTATGACCCCAGCCTGGGAAATTTAGAGAGACATTATATCAAAATTTTAAAAAGGGTTGCAGATGCAGATGCAGTTCAGTGTGAAGGCCCTGCATTCAATCCCCAGCACCACACACACTCACAAACACAAATCTGTGGTCAGGATAAGACCACAGTCCTGTGGGATTAGGGAAGAGTCCTGTTTAATTTAAGCTCTAGGAATCTCCTTCAATGTTTTACAGTTACCTACAGAAATCCAATAAATAATCTTGTCAGAATAAAGACTGAGGCAGGGCCTCTCCATAGCAATTACTGTGTAACTTAATATCATAGTTCAAATACTATTATTCAGAACTTAGTTATGCATGGGCTCATCAGGTAGGACTTTTCAGCTATCAGATGATTAACTGGATGGCTTTTGTCCTCTTTTAATCAGCACTGTAGAGAATTATCATTATGTTCCTGGTTTGTCTTGTCTTTTAGCATCTGAAGATGCTTTTTGGTCATTCCAGCTGAGGCCTCCAAGTATTTTTTTAAGTATTATAAAGCCAACTGCACCCATTTCTTTTGTTTTCCTTTTTGTCAAACTGACAGTAAAATATTATAGCTGCATCATATGTAGATGAGGGTTTCACTTCTTTACCTGTCTGTTGAAATCCTCTTCATTCTCCATCCACATGTACTCTGCAAATGGGTTTTCCTTCTCATCATGCCCATTTAATCCCTGGTCCTCTTTGGATTTTACACTGGGTGGTGTATTTGCCACGCTGGATCCATTCATTATGATGGAATCTAAACAGAAGCAAAAGAAAGGTTAAGAAGAATATAAGGATCAAGGAAATGTAAACCTAAAACATCCTAACTCTTTCAAAAGCTTTTAAAGTTCTAAACAAAGATTTTTAACTTAAGTGAAGAGAAACTGTTAGACTCTGTTTTTAAAGAAATCAACTGCATCCCTTGCAGATGCCAAATTATAGATGTACAATTTTTTTTAAAAAAATTTAGTTTATTAGTACATGTGTAATGTTTACATTCCTGTGGGAAGCTGGTACAGGTACACACATCCTAGTTCTTTTTACATTCCCTATACCCCTGGCACAAAAACAGATATGAGGATCAATGGTATAGAATACAGGACCCAGAAACAACCCCAAGTATATTCAACTATTTGATCTTAGACAAACGGGCCAAAAACATACTGGAGAGAAGATTGCCTCCTTAATAAATGGTGTTGTGAAAAGTGGCTATCCACATGCAGAAGATTCAATCTGGACCCCTATCTCTCACCATCTACTGCTAAAATCAAAATAGATCAAAGAACTAAATGTTAAACCAGGAACAATCTGCTGGAAGATAAAGCAGATAAAACTCTTTAAATTACAGGCATAGTGAGGACTTTCTGAACAGAACCTCAGTTGTTTGATGATCGAAACTACAGGAAATAGTTTTGAGAATCAACAATTGGGATCATTTCAAAGTAGAAGATGTACAATTCTTTAAGGATTAAAAGAAATGGCCAGGTATAGTATTCCTAGGTGAGAGCAGTAGGGTAGGGTAGAGGGTAGGAATTTTCCAATGCCAAATTTCCTCTACAACCGAATCCAGAACACCTTGCTTAATATTTAAATAGGAAGACAAAGTATACTCTTAAGAAACATTGGAAGTACCACCTGCTCCTTATTATGATTCTCAAGTTTTTTCTTTAAAATGTTATTTCAAAAAATAATACATGTTCATTGTATTGAGACGCAAAAAGGAGAAAAAATTGACCACCCATCCCAACATCTAGAGTTCAGTACAATTAACAATGTGGTACACCAAACCTTCCTAACACCCCCAATATGCATGTAGATACAGACAATACACATACATTCCCCAAGTATTCTTTTTTTTTTTTTCTTTTTTGATCTTTGTTTGTTTGTTTTGGTTTTTCTCCGGTACCGGGAACCGAACTCACGACCTTGCGCTTGCCAGGCAGGCGCTTTTTGCCACTGAGCTAAATCCCCAGCCCCCTCTTTTTTTGATCTTTTTAAGACAGGGTTTTGCTATGCAGTTCGCCTGGTCTTGAACTCACATTGTAGCCCAGATTGGCCTCAAACTTGCAGTGATTCTCCTGCTTCAGCCTCCCCAACGCTGGGATTACAAGCGTGTGCCACCATACCCCACTGTCTGGCTAATTTTTGATGACTGTTTTGATCCAAAGAGTTTTTGTATCTATTCTTAATAGTAATAGGAACATATGATACATGATGCTCCACCATTTGGGGTTTTTTTCTCATTTCTTTTAATATAGCCATACTCTCTGGAGTGTGTCCAATGTTTCTGTATTACAAAGCATGGATGAACTTCTTGTATTTCTTTTTTCTAATGATTTCCTTAGAGCAGCTCCTAAAACTGGAACTGCTACATTGCAGACTTGTTCATTTTTTTGAAGGCTCTTGATTTATTAACATCCTGCCATAAAAATTTAAATTCCCACTAGTATTATGTAAGTGCCTATTTCCCCACATTCAGGAGTATTGTTATTTTAAAAATCATCCCCAGTCCTTTAAGAGAAAATATGGATTTTTGGGGCTGGGGATGTGGCTCAGTGGTAGAGTTTCTGCCCTGCATGCACAAGGCTCTGGGTTCAATCCCCAGCACCACCACCAAAAAAAAAAGGTATGTATTTTTTGTTTAAATTTCTTTCTTATTTCTTTTTGATACCAGGAATCAAACTCAGGACCTTGCACTTGTAAGGCAGGTACTGTGCCACTGAGCCATACCCCAGACCCTTAAATTTCTTTGATTTTTGCCGAGGCTGAATATTTTGAGATGTCTGTTTACTGTCCATTTTTCTATTGAGATATGTAACTTTTTCTTATCTTTTGTAAGAATTTTTATTACATTTCCCATAATTAAAAATAATTTTTAAATAATTTATAACTAAGAAAAAAAAGCTTTTGAGACAAGGTCTCACTGTATAGTTCACTGATGATTGTTTTGATTCCAAGAGTTTTTGTATCTATTGGCCTTGAACTTAACGATCCTCCTGCCTCAGCCTCCTGATTGCTGGGATTACAGGGGTGTGCCATCATGCCCAGCTGCCAAAAGTTTATAACTAAAATATATTATATTCTGGGGCTGGGGATTTAGCTCAGGGGCACAGCACCTACCTGGCAAGCGCAACGTCATGAGTTCAATTCCTGGTACCGGAAACAAAACAAAACAAAAAAAACTTAAAATATATTATATTCATTACATTTGCTTAACTTCTTGGTGGTAGTTTTTGCTAGATTTAATTTTTGTCTACGGCTTGTTTGTGTATGCCTGTCTATGGTTTTTAAAGGATATATATTAAAAGAATTACTTATTTTGGCTTTTAAGTCTATTTTGATATTTTTGTTGCCATTTGGAATAATGTCTTATTGTTGTTGTTCTTTGCCTAAATCCTAACCATTCTTCCAAAAACACTCCAATCTTTACTCACTTCTTTCCTTCTCTAAGTTATACCTGGCGAGTATAAGGTTAAAGTACTTAATTGTTCTGTTTCGTGTGTATAATGTCTTTCCTTCCAATTACATTCTCAACTCCTGAAAAACAAGACTGACATGTATACATTTCGTAACTCACTCTAGGATTAGGGACTCCATAAATACTTGTGGTTTAATTGTGCTTTGGCAACTTTCTCTATCCCATTTCCTTTCTACCACAACTCCATCTCCACCCAGACTCTCCTTCAGGCTCCTTTAAATTTTCCGTAACATATTATTTTCCTCTTGTTTCCATCTAGTAAATACTCTTGAAATTTTTATCTGCTTCTTGGTAAACTAAAAACTTCTTTTTTTTTTAGCTTCTTTTAGAGTTTCTACAATTTCCTTATCTGGACAGACATCAAAAATGTAATCTCATAAAAAGACAAAGCAGAGCTATGAAAAGTAAAGAAATAATGGAAAACACATTGGTAGTTCTAAAAGAACTTCATTTAAAGCAAAGTCCACTTAATTCATTAGGTTTAAAAAAGGCACCTAGTATGAAATACATCTGTTTAATACATTGTCGATAGCATCCAAAGAAATCAATGTCTACTCCAAATAGATTCACAGTAACAATTGCATAGGGCTAGGGAAGAGAAGGATACAGTGTACTGTACTTTACTTTTACCAATTCCATTTGCAACATAACAATTAATAGAAGGAAATCTTCTCAAAATGCTAGGGCAAATCCATAAGTAAGCATGGTAGTCCTAAGCACACAGACTAAAGGTCCTCAACTTTGCTGGGCAGCAGATTATACTGTGTTATATTTCTGAAAACTTATTGGCAGTTATTTACAGCCAGCAGAGCGATTTCTCCCCAGCAATACAGAAATCACCCACAGAGAATCAGGGTTCGGTTTTCTAAAACATCCGCCTTTATTCAAAATATAAATCCTGACCGTGTATGACTGTATGGAGAAAGAGAAGGCAAAGAAAGAACAGAATAACTCAAGCTGACTTAAGAGCTAGGTGGAGCAAAGAGAGCAAATTGCAGGATGTACTTGTTCATGAGAAAGGGAACAGGAAAATTACCACAAACTCAACATGGGGATGTTATCTGTGATTTTATATGTGTATTCTGGCTTTCATCCATGGTTCCCAGTTCATAAGTCCCATAGTGTTTGTTATTTCAGTATGGCTTTGGAGCAACAGAGGTGAAACAGAGTCCTTTCTCTTCTTCTCTTTTCTCCTCTTTCTCCCTCCTTCCCTCCTTCCTCCTCCCTCTCCTCTCTCCTTTTACCTGTTCATTTTTTCTCCCAAAGGCAGCACAGAAACTAGAATTTCTTTTTCATAGCAGGTCACAGGAACTAAAAATATAATTTTCACTCCCCCTTTTCTGTCTTGGTGCTGGCCATAAAGAAATTTTCTGACCTATCTTGTGTGATAGTAGATCACAAGATCTTCTCTTTAGAAAAGGTCCTGTGCCATAGCAGGTAGTATGTTGCAGAGAGAGGCACAGAAGAATCTCAACAAGCTTTGCTGGGTTAACCCACTCCATCTATTAGCATTAGATCACAAACCCTTTTTGTCCAATCACTTTGCTACATGGTTACCTATGCTTTAACCATACTTCTGCACTAAAGTCTCAAAAACAAACAAACAAACCAACAAAAAAAACCCAACAACCTAAAAAGACTGGGTTTGGAGAGCTTCTGGGTAGCTGAACACATGGAGGTTTACAGGAAGGTAAACAAGAGCTCACCCATGTGCTAGGAGGTTGGTGTACCCAAAAGTTCCTGGGCTCAGAATCCTTCCAAACTTCATTCTACGTATCTTTTCTTCTGGCTAGTTATCTATATCCTTTAAAATACTCTTTTTTGAGGGGTGGTGGTGCCAGGAATCAAACTCCGTACCACATGCTTACCAGGCAAGCACTAAACCCAGGCCCTTAAATACTCTTAATAACATACTAGTAAACACAGTGTTTCCCTGAGTTCTGTGAACTACACTAGCAAATTACTTAAACCCAAGGATGGGGTTGTGGGAATCCCAATGGAAACCAGTTGGTCAGAAGTTTCAGAGGCCTGGAATTCTGAGGGGCCTCTGAAGAGCCTGTCTGAGACTGTCTGAGAGCCAGTCTGTTAGGACTAACCTCTCATTCTGTGGAATCTGATGCGACTTCCAAGCAAACAGTGTTAGAGTTAAACTGAACTAAAGGGAAGATGACCAATTGGGATCTGCTGGATTGCTTGCCTGCTGGTGGGAAGAAATCCTCACACATTTTGGGATCGCAGGGGTGATCTATGTTGTAAACATACAATGGGAGAAACTGAGT